TTGTGTGAGAAGAATGGTGTTTGTTGCCATGATCGTGTTTGATGATGTTGAAGCTCACAATGATACTACGTTCAAGGAGTGAAGCCAGCTTCATATCTCGGTCTCATATGTTGAGAATGCGTGTTAGCTAAGCGTAAACCAGAGGCCCCTGCAGCCATCGAGATGTATTCCCCATGAGATACCAAGCGCCGCAGGCGACTTCTCGAGTGGACCTGTTCATGGTCTGTTACGTCACGAGGTTCTCTGATATACGGATTTCTAAAACAAGGACACTCCTTAGCGCCTTCAAAGATTGTTTTGGCACATTATCTCACTGTTAGCTTTGCTGCGTCTCACCTGCCAAGCCGTTCACTGCCAAGAGCTTCGCAGCACAGAGAAATAGAACTGGACTTCTCCGGCATTCTGCCGTGTGTGCATCGAGACCTTTGTTTTGAGTAGCGAACGTGCTCATCGGATTTCTACGTCAGGTTCCCTGGCATGCTATTATTAGGGCATTGGGGTTTGCGCCAAGACGTCAGATGAAGGTATCGTGGTGGAGGCGATCCATCGCACTCCCCCATGCAGCGATCAACTATGCAGGGTTACAATTCCCGCAGGAGAGAACTACTACACAGGCTGTATCGTTTTGTGAAGAATTCTTTTGTGAATACTTATATAACTAGGGATATATAAGAGGACCCCCCTACTCTAACTACCCCTTATATATCTAGTAAACTACCCTATTAACTACTACTATATTATAGCGATTATATATATATCCTTAAGTTCCTTTAATAGGGTACTATACTTTAATAATATAAGATACTTAATTTAATTAATATTATATAACTTATTTATCTTAAATTTCGTTTTAATTTACTTAAAATATCTCTATACCTTAGCTTAAAAATATATTATCTTATTAAGGTATACTAGTAGAAAGTAGTAGTATATTTAATATACTATTAAGTTTTCTACTAAGGGATTAAGTTATATATATAAAAATCTATATACTTTATCTTAATTATTTTAAGTAATTATAAAGAAGCTATTACTACTCTTAAAGTAGTAGTAATAGATAGTATTAATATAATATAATAATAATATCTTAATATTAAAGGAGTAATAGGTTATAGTAGTATAAAGAGGGAGATACTTACCCCCTAGCGATTCGCACTCTCTTTATATACCCCTATAAGTAGCTATAGAGGTTTCTCTACTATCCTAGCCCTCGAATATTTCCCCGTGAGAGTTATACAGCAGTCAACAAGGTACGCCTCCAGGCGGCAAACTGCGAAGAAGAAAAGTTAGAAGGGAAGAAACACAGGCCGTGTTTTACAGTTCTACCGCTCCAAATGCGATCTTTCCCTGGTAGGAAACACGAGTCACGTCCCAAAAACCCAATCTGGAAAAAGGTAGAGCCTGATAATTGAATAACACCGCTTTATTCAGACGGAGACTACTGAGTCAGAGTACGCACGCCCTGCATTGCTGTCAGTCCCATCTATCGGCCGGCTCAACGCCAAGAAACCACCGGGCTGTACCTTCCTACGGGTCAGAGGCGTGTCGTCAATTTTTGGAAAGCTATGGATATCCTGTTGATGTGGTCCCGCGTGGCCGGTCACACCTTCTCTAACGCCTTGGCCAGAAAGCTACCGTGTTGTTGGGCAGTAACGCTGGAATTAGACAGGCATTAATCCAGAAGCTTGGGGGTTGTGATCACGAAATGTCACCGCAGATACGAATCGCCATTCTTCATACTAGAACATAAAGATTGTGCAGATGTCATGCATGAACAACGTTGACATATCATGAGAACTGGAAACGGAAGATAGCCTATGGTCCATGAGCCAAATTACCGTCTGGCATATCTTTTGTTTCTCTATGTATCACCACATTATCTGGTACTCATGCTTCGCCTAGTCTCAGACCTGAAAAAGTGTCTTGTCAACGACTCTTTGGGGGATTGCTCAGTCATAACTTTTCTTCCTCGTTTTTTCAAACTCATCTTACTCTTGTCAATCTTGGCTCATTCGATCTATCTAAGAGCCAAAAGCCTTTTTGTGGCTTGCCAGAGTTGGTCAGCCACAGTCTATCAACCTCGTCGACAAACGACTTTCACCGTCACCATCACCACAGACACCTACACAAACACAACCATCATTGATACCACAACAAACACAATGCATCTCACCACGATACACATGGCGCTAATTGCCACAATGCTGGCCAGCATAGTCTACTTCGCCTTCTCGTTATTCAAAGCGCGCAGCTTCTTTCGTCGTCTTCAGAAGGACGGCATTCCCATGCCTCCTCATCATCCCATATTGGGGCACCTTGGTCTGATGTTGAGCATCATGATATCTCTCCCGCGCGATGTTATGCCAACTGTGGTTCTCGCCGATCAAGTTCGCAGACGGTATCCACACCTGGACAAAGCTTTCTATCTAGACATGTGGCCATTCACTGGACCGATGTTGATGATCATCTCACCGGATCTGATGCGCCAAGCGACCCAGGGCGAGAATTCTTTGCCCAAGGTAGCCTTCTTGAAGAATTACATCAAGCCGTTGAGCGGCGGACATGATCTTGTCAGTATGGAAGGTGACGAGTGGAGGCGCTGGAGAGATGTGTTTCGCCCAGCTTTCAGTCGCGCAACTGAGCTTGTGCCCAATATCGTGGAGACAATCTGCGTCTTCCGGGATCAGCTTGTTGGCAGAGCTAAAGGGAACAGTGGCTTGTTTCAACTGCATCACTCTGCGCTGAACCTGGCTATGGACATGTCCGGCAAAGCTCTGTGGAACCACGACATGAGCACCCAGAGGTCCTACAACGACATGGCCGACGCCATTGTTTCCCAGCTCAGATGGCTACTTGTCGAAGGCTTCATGCCATTTGCAAGTCTCAACTTCATTAGGCCATTGGTACACAAGTATAATGGCTTTAGAATGGAGAGATACATCGCCGGCGTGCAGCACAGACAGAAGACCAACAAAGACGACAACGACTGCGTTATTAGCCGAGCCATCTCCAAGGTTCGCGCTCGACACACGGACAAAAAGTTCTCCGCAGACCCATTTCGCGACCTCGGAGGCGAGGCTCATTTCAACACAGTCATCAAAAGCCAAATGAGGTTTCTCCTTCTCGCAGGCTACGACACCACGGGCTCAACCATCACATATGTCCTGCATGTTTTGTCCCAACATCCCGAGGTTCTGGCCCGAGTACGACAGGAGCACGACGAGGTACTGGGCTCGAATGTGTCTCGCGCAGCCCAGCAGCTCAAAGAAAACCCGCACCTCGTCAATCGTGTCCCGTATACTACAGCGGTGATCAAGGAGACATTGCGCCTATACCCACCAACGTCAACCCTTCGGAACGGAAAGCCTGGGTTTAACCTCTACGATCGAGAGTCTCCGGGCTCTACTGTTACATATCCCACAGAAGGGTGCATTGTTTTTGGCAATCACCACGGCCTGCACCACAACCCCAGATACTGGAAAGAGCCCGACGCGTTTCTTCCTGAGCGTTTCCTCACAGCTCCGGATGACCCTTCGGGCTTACATCCACTCCAGGATGCGTGGCGTCCGGTAAGCCAGCTGAAACTTCCGCGTTATTTCACAGAACCAAATTAACATTAACATTTTCTAGTTCGAGAAAGGGCCTCGGGCATGCATGGGCTCGGAGCTTGCAATGGTCGAGATCAAGGCTGTCATCATGCTTGTTGCTCGGGAATTTGATTTCACACCTGCTTATCAGGAATGGGAGGCGTCACAGTCCAAGCAGGCGGCGGGAGAGAACAAGATTGGGTTGGGAGTCTTGCTTCCGGGCAGTGCACCAAAGCATGTCAACGGCGATCGCGTGTATCAGACTACTGGAGGTGGAGGAAGTCATCCTGCGGATGGCTATCCTTGTAGGGTGAGATTTGCGCCAGGTGTTTAGCGGATTGAACTTTCAAGGCAATACTACATGTTGTGTATGCATGATAATGGTGCAAAGTGGCGATCTGCTTGTATTCATCTTGCCGTTGTGGCAAAGGTGGTTGGTTTGTGACTATTCTGGTGTCGCTACAGACCTAGAATTTACAGTCGTTATGTCCCGGCCAGAGTCAATCCCTGTGGTTCAAAGCTGTTGGAAGAGTTCTATCACAGATGACCAAAGTCTATAATGTTGTTTACAAGTGGGCGATCGGCAGAATGCCAGATTGGTAAACCCGGGACCGAAACCGTACAGCCGAGACCGACACAGACAGCCGTTATCCAAATTTTAACCTCAGCCATGATGTCAATGAGAGGCTTAGTAGCTTAGAGATTCATGGTGTACAACAGCCGTTAAAACCTACAAATCACTGCATGTCATCCCGCCACCTTCCCGAGCACATAATCTTTTGCATTTCGTCTGAAGTGATTTGCCGGAAAGCAAAAGTCATGAACTGCCAAGGCGTATGCTCATAGCCCCAAAGCTACGGACTTGGAATTCTGACAGCTGGAACTTGAGACGGCTCGAGGCGTTGCAAATCGGCATGGCTTCAAGGCGCCAAGACGAGAACGAGGGATCTAATTCTGGTGCCGGCAACTTTCAGTTGATGCGTCACGTAGTCATCTTTTGCCGAAATATTTGCCTTGGCATGCATGTGTTTTCGCCCAGCCTTGGCCCTGAGAAACCAGAAGGCCTTGTGCAACAGACACAGCGCATCGATGCTACGCCCGCCCCAAAGAAAGGCATGAGACAAAGGCACCGGCATGGAAGTGGGGTCCAATTCGCACACCCCGTAGCCCGCACCGGCGCTGGGGGTACGTCGGCGATCCTTGTTTCTAGGGACCCCTGTGTTGGAACTCATCGTTATATCGGGGACCGCACATAACGAGAACGAGAACTACCTCATCTCGAAGACGGATTGCAATGATAATGATGGCGGAAGTGATGACCGATCGCGCGATCCTCGTGTTCGAGCAAATTGGTCAGATAGACTTTTCGCAGCAGCGCGTGTTCTCACCACTATTCGGACGGCCGTACTCAACATGGAGGCCACAATCAACCACCTGTACAACCATCATTCGAAGAGCAACAGCTCATTGCACATGAGCGGAGACGATCATGAGCTTTCGAGGGGCTACTTGATGGCATCAACAATCATTGCAATCCTGTTTGCACTCTTTTCCTACTTCAAGAAGTCTTCCAAATCTACTTCACTACCATGGGTAAATCAACCTGGGGTTTTCGACATTTTTCGAATGAAAGCCAAATACAGGTTTCTCATGGGAGCCAGAGACATGGTGCTCCAGGGATTCGCGGACTTCCCTGACAGCGCCGGCTTCCGGATGGTTGCTGATGGTGGTGAAATTGTGATGCTCGCGCCAAAATATGCGGCTGAGCTGAAAAATGACCATAGAGTCGACTTTGTGAAGCTGTTTCTACAGGTAAAGGATGCTATTCCTGAGATTCGAATTCGCTGTGCTAGGTCTAATCACAGAAAATAGGACTTCCACGAGGGGATACCGGGCTTTGACTTTACCCAGCAAGGTGCTCGGGACGCAAAGATACTGCGAGAAGTAACTAAAAGCCAGTTGACACATCACTTGAGTAAGCCACATTGAGACGCGCTGTGTGAACATATTATAACGGTTGAACCAGGCAAGATCACCGACTCACTATCGTCCGAGTGCACGGCCTCGATGCAAAGAATATTCACAGACAATGAAGGTAGCTTATCTCGAGTCTCTCCAGATTTATAAGTCACGACTAACATGCACTCCAAGAATACCATGATGTCGAACTTAGATCTTCGCTTCTTGATCTTATTTCACGGATATCATCGAAGGCCTTCCTCGGCGGCGATCCTTTGTATCAAAATGAGGATTGGCTCAAAATCACCACCACGTACGCTGGAACAGTCAATCGTGCAGCAGTGATGCTCCGACTGTGGCCACACGCGCTTCGTCCTTTGGTGCACTGGGTGCTCCCGTCCTGTCGTGAAGCGCGCACTCAGGTCCGCCTGGCTCGCCGATTATTCGAGCCAATGGTTGAGCGAAGACGCCGAGCCAAGGCAGAAGACCCGAACGTCGTGTTTGATGACACTGTCGAGTGGGCTGAAAAGGCTGCGAAAGGCATGCCGTATGATGCATCTGCTGTTCAACTTTTGTTTTCCATGGCCGCTATGCACACCACCACAGACCTCCTTACTCAAGTCATTCTCGATCTGGCAGCTCATCCTGAGATGCTTGATCCTCTGCGTAAAGAGATTGAGACGGTGCTCAGCGAGGAAGGCGGATGGACCAAAGCAGCACTACACAGGATGAAGCTCCTCGATAGTGTTTTGAAGGAGTGCCAGAGAATGAAACCAGCAGCCATTAGCGGCCTGCGGGGAATTTTGAATACGGACGTTACGCTATCTGATGGACTCCGTCTCGCCGAGGGAACGTCCATCGCTGTATCATCCCATCTGCACTGGGACGAGAAGATCTACAAAGACCCGCATGAATGGGATGGCTGGCGTTTTTACAATCTACGCCAGGTGCCTGGAATGGAGCATCGGTCCCAGCTAGTCTCATCGACCTCACCCGAGCACATGGGATTTGGTATTGGAACACACGCGTGCCCTGGCCGTTTCTTTGGGGCGCACGAGGTTAAAGTGGCTCTATGCCATTTTGTCTTGAACTACGACTGGAAGCTCAGTGAAGGCACTGTGCCGCAGACTCGGACCTTCATGTGGTCCCTTGTAGCTGACCCGAAGGCAAGGATCTCCATCCGAAGAAGATGCCATTAACACTTAGGCTCAACCTAGGAAGGTTGCTGTACAAGTAGAATAGCCAAAGGTGCACGTCATGTCTCTGGACAAGCACAAAAAATGAAGTAAACGAATTAAAGATACTTGGGATGCGTTGCAATATATGTCTACGTCATTTCGGAGCCCTTGTCTCTGTTTTGTTCAGCTCAAGCTGTGTGCCTTGACTTCCAGTCCCCGGTGCTCGCAACTTTCAACTGATTCAGTTTTCTCGACAGCAATTCCACTCCTACTTGCAGTGATAATGCATGGTTTGCACGCAATAGTATAACGCTTATTTCTTAATCGAAACACAGAAATGAGGAAGCCAAGTGAATGGAGTGTTCGCGGTTACATATTGCGTGTCCCCTATTTTTGATCCGTGGCTAATAGTCCACTGGGAACCGAGCTCTGAGACGTTCGCCATACTTGTAAAACAGGAATGGCACAGGAACAAACGCAATCCCAATGAAAGCAAGCAGACTGTTTCCCCATCCAAGTCCCAACCCTTTGTACAGAGGCGGCCCAGCAAGAGGTAGAAATGCTCCGAACAGACTTCTCATGAACGTATTCGCGGCCAAGGCCGATGCAGACGCCTCGGCACCAAATGCATCCACGAGATAAATCTGAGACGGCATAAGAATGATGAAGGATCCAAAGCCGATAACAAATGTGCCGAGAACTGGAACGATCCAGTGAGTATCCCCGGCAGCACTCCAACCATACCAGAAGAAGCCGATTGAGACGACAGGAGCCATCCAGACCGACAGCAGGAGACGAATTTCGGGCCGCGCTGGCACTCCGGTAGCTTTGGCCGCCTTGACCTGCTTGTCGCTTACTGCGCCAACCAGTCCGACTCCAAATATCATCCCAATCGCCAGACCCAGGTATGCTAGTCCAGCCTGAGAAGGGCCCCAGCCGTACTTAACCTGGAACACAGCGGGGAAGGTAGTATAAAGAAGGTAGGTAAGGCCGAACATAAAGGCGCAGTAGAGAGAAATGAGAGAAATGATGGGAGAGAACATAAGCATCTTGGTCGGGCGCGCGATAGCTCTCCACAGTAACTGTCCTTGTGTAATGTTCTTCGCAGTCCGGGCTCGTAGGCGATCGTTGCCGGTGGTCTTGCGCAAGTATGCAGCCTTTCGTTCAAGTAAGATGGGTTCGAAGGTTTCTCGCATGATCACGACGCCAACCAGAGAGACCACACCAGCCTGCGAGCTTTCGTTAGATGTGTGCACGCAACAAAGAAGTATCTGAGACGTACCAGGATGAAGATCACCCAAAATGTCCATCGCCAACCACTGTACTGCGTAAGTGCGCCTCCTACTACAGGCCCAACAACTGGACCGAGTAGAGGACCAAGACTGAACAGCGCCATTGCCTTGCCGCGCTCATCTGCCTTGTACATGTCGGCGATGGTGCCTCCTCCGACGGCCATCGGCGCTGCACCAGCACAGCCAGCCAGAAACCTGAAGGCAAGGAACATGGAAGCGTTTGTGCTAAGGGCGCATCCAATTGTGAAAGCTTCATATGTTATGTTGCAGATGTGGTAGACGGCAAGTCTTCCATAGATCTCTGATAAAGGGGCAATAAGAAACGGGCCCACGCAGTACCCCAAGACGTAGATGGAGACAGTCAAGGATGCAACCATAGAACTGGTGATTTCGAACTCTTTGACAAGATACTGAGCTCCAGGAGCGAACATGACAGCCGCTAAGTTTCTAGAAACATATTTGGATTAGGCTTCTGACATTTTACCCTGTTAATCATGATATGAGAGATTGACATACGAGTACAGCGTGAACGAGCTGACGAGGAGGACGTGGGCGAGCTTCGTTCGCGGTCCCCAGTTTTGAGGGTTCAAAACATCTTTTGGGCCTTCCCAATCGACGACCGACGGGTCGCTGTGTGCTTTCTCGAAGGCAAGGCTGTTGACAGACTCCACGGGAGACTGCAAGTTCTCGTATGGCGACCTGCGCTGGGCATCGCGATCTTGCTGCGTAAGCGATGCCATGTCGATGACTTTACTCATTCTTCTCGATCACTATCAAAGTCTGTGGAATGTGAAATTGCTTGGGCAGCACGATTGTTGTCAATGTAACGTGCCAGATGAAATGGTTGGCAACATCACTATATTCTAGGCGCAGATCTTAGACAAAGGTCCAAGGATAGCATCGCCGTCACCGACAAGTGATCACCCAAATGTCTAGCTTACCCTGTTCACGTCAAACCTTGGGTGTGGCCGTGCCAAGGCACAATATCAATCGCCGTAAATAGCATCGATTACCATCGCGTCGATGCACATATCCAGAATGACATTATCGAGGTAGGTCAGCCTGTAAATCTTGAGCACGTCCTCATCCCGATTTTCTACCCACCCTCAAAAGTCGCCGGTGCGGGCAGAAGAGCTTCTTGATTCATGAAACTCTGAGCGAATGGGTTGCCCGCTGAGCGGGTAATACTTCAGACAAACCCACGCGTCTCCGACGCCCTCAACCCGCCCCTCCTCGTTCTCGCGATCCTTGGCATGTTAACCGGGGTACCTGATCGACAATTCCCGGCTCCGGTCGTCCCCACCATTGATGGCCGCACGGCGGTTCCCAGAATGTCGGGGCTGCCGCCAAGACTGTACGCTTGGCACCAGTTATTTTGCCCAGAAACGGCGTCTCGTAATTTTGTCCAGGTCTTTGAGGCGATGCAGAGAGGTTCATCTCCACATCGTTCACATATAGTCACAGTGACGCTGCTTGCACCGCTCCATGGGTGGTTTTCGTGATCAATTTCAAAATACCAATTGCCAAGCGGGACCTTAGCCTCCAACTTATCAACATGTCTCCAGCCAAAGAGATGTTCATTTCTACTCTGCACGAGCGCGGTGCTTTGCTTCTTTTCATCGCCGTCATCTTTTCTGCCTCTTACATCTACCCTCGGCTGCGTGTTAGACAAAGACTTAAGCAGATTCCTTTGATGGGAGAAGAGCTTGGGGGCTACTATAAGCGCCGCAACGAGTTCTTGAGGGATCCCATGAGATTCTACTGGGAAGGTTATCAGAGGTGCAAGAACAAGTGTTTCCGCGTGACACACTATGAAGGTAGGCTATCTCTGTTTGCATGTTCAACGTTAAGTCCCTAACCATAATCACAGGTGAACGGATTGTTCTGCCAGGAGCGGCGCTGGACGAGCTCTGGAATATGTCGGAAGCTGTCCTCAATAAAAATAAAGCATATGATCAGGTAAGATTACGAGTCAAAGTGCACTGTGAGACCTCAACCAGACGCAATACTAATATGCCATTTTTATACAGAGGGTACTCAGACAGTACACGGGTTTGCCATCCGGCAACCCCTTTCTGGTGCACTGCATCCGCTCAGACCTAACCAGAAATCTCAGTATGTCCGATGCCTCAATGGCAACCGACCAGAATGACTAACTTGCCGCAGAACGCATCAACCACCATCTGGTCTCCGAGGTTGAGAAGACCGTCGATGAGGTCATTGGCCCATGCGAAGAATGGACCTCCCACCCGATCTATCGGACTTCACTCCGGATCGTTGCCATCGTCTCCGGTTCTGTCTACGTCGGGCCAGACGTATGCCGCAACGAACAGTTCATCCATGATAGCAGTAGGTTTTCCCTCTGATCTTCTCACAAACCAACGCTTACAGAAAGTACAGTTCACTTCACAGAAAATGTCTTGGCTGCTGTTCACATGCTTCAGATGTATCCGGGTTGGATGCGCCCAATCGCCCGGTTCCTCAAGCGTGAGCGAACCCAACTAGCCAAGTCATGGAACCACCTGAAGGCCTCAAAAAGGCTTGTGGTGCCAATTATTCAACAGCGACGTGAAGAGGTCCAGGCCGGCCGTGCTTCCTACGACGACATGCTCGCCTGGATGATGGCGAAGCAAGGTGAGTGGAAGCAGACCGACGACGATGTAGCCGGCTCCATGGTTCAACTCGGTGTTGCCTCGACTCACAATACATCTTCGACGATTGCTCAAACGCTGTTCCAGTTGGCCATTCGTCCAGAGCTGGTCGAGGAGCTTCGCGAAGAAGCACAGAGGGTCTGCGACCAGTTTGACGAACAGCTGAGTCCTGTTGCCCTGCACGAGTTGAAGCTCCTCGACAGCGTCATGAAAGAGGCTCAGCGACTTAACCCCACAACACCTTCCCATTTCCACCGTGTTGTTGAGAGGGACATCACCCTTAAAGACGGCACTCTCATCCCTCAGGGCATCACGGTGGAAGCCATCTTTGCGCCGCCCTTGTTCGACCCGGTCCTCTTCCCCAACCCACAAGAGTTTGATCCATATCGCTTCCTCAAGCTTCGCAGAGGAGAGACTCCGGACCCCAATCACTACAAGAACAAGGAGCAGTATACGTTCAGCCATGCGACCAAAGAGAACCTGGCATGGGGCTATGGAGCTCATGTTTGCCCTGGCCGCTACTTTGCTAACAATGAAATCAAGTTGATTTTGGCGCGTATGCTTTTGCGTTACGACATCCGAATGCCTGGGGGAGTTAAAGAGGTGATGAAGCCTCAGAGGGGCGGTATGGGATGGACTCCTGATTTGCGAAAGCCGATTGAGTTCCGCGCCATCAGGAGATAGCTGCGAAAGGCGACCAACATGCTTCTAGTTCGTACAAAAAGCTATTTCTAACAATACCTGAATACTTCCATATCTACCGTGATTATATTGAGATTGGGCCGATAACAATTTGTGGGCTTCCACGGCCGGTATTCATGCCATGACCTGGACACTCAACCCCGATTGCCAATTTACGTTGACATACTGAGTTTGATCATCTCCCATTTTATCAAACATCGATTTGAATATTTTCTTTGCAATCATCGTGAATCCTGCAGTAATGAGACGCAAGAAAATTGACCTGATTCGACCTCCGCACCTTGAAGTTTACTTTTTCTTCCGGCAATAAATCCGATAGAGTGATATCCTAAGAATCAAAACCGTAAGCCAAGTATGTGTTTTGCGATCTCGATCAAAACACAGCCCGCCCTCAAGGTTCGAGACTGGCGGAACTAATAATGCGACCTTCGCCCCTGATGCTTGTCAGTAACCGCACGCTCCAATTCTAATTATGCACGTAACACATCTGCGAAGTGCCTTTACACGCCAAGCCCTACAATGAGATGCTTGAGTCAAGAGTTCCATGGAACCTGTCAAGCTTGATCGACGGTCAGCCCCATGGGTGCCGACGTCCGCCGGAGCTCGCACTTCAGCGGAGAGGGGTGCCGTACATGACCGCAAACCTTCCCTGAAGCAGCCGGCGCTCAGATGATAGAATCATGAGTTTCTTCCGGCCTGCGACAGTAGAACGGAGACTTGGCAGCTCCAACCAAGAGTTCAAGGCATGATTGATGAACACTGGTTTTACCGTTCCCGTCGGGATAACTCAATGTTTTATGAGAGAAACTGAGCCTAAACTTCTAATTTTGAACCTCTTAAGACAGTCTTTGCTCATTGATAAGCCTGCCCTGCTCCGCCGCTGACTGTTAGTTCATCACACGTACCTAATCAAAGATCTTTGTTGAGGACTATCAATCACAATGACCCAAATCCTCGAGCTCGGGTGGATCCCTGTCAAACAGGACTACGAGGATTCTCCCGTCACCAAGTCTATCAAGGAACTGCACTCAAAGGTCATCGGCAGCTCCGATCTGCTCGGCCAATGGGAAGGTGTCCAAGGTCCTGGCGGATTCGATGGCAGCCCGGTCAAGAGTGTCCACTTGGCTGCAGGTAAGATGCGATGCACAAGAATGCGATGAATCTCAGCGGCTAACCCTGATAAGTCTGGACCTCCGTCGAAGCTGCAGATGCCGCGAAGCAATCACCAGATGGTCTTGAGATGAGGAAGCTGTGGGGCCAAGTCATTGAGATGTCCAGCCCTTCAGGCCCTGTACTACCCTGGACAGGATACTTCAACTTGGGCGGCGGGGACTTCGGCAAAGTCGCTGCATCTAATGTCGTTCTGTTGACCGGGTCGTATCTGCCAGTTGATGCTGACACTGCGGCGTTCGAGGAGAAGTGGCAGTCAATGATGCGTGCCCAGGCAAGTTCGGGTGGTGTCACAGCTGGTTTCTTAGCCGGTGTGCACGGATGGTCTGCTGGAGAAGTCGTATACAAGGGCGAGAAGAAGAAGGCGTTTATGGTTGTGACTGGATGGGACAGCGAGGAGAACGTGAAGGCGGCGATCGGTGGGGACAAGAGAGCCAAGTTTGAAGAAGCGCTGAAAGAGTTCAACATTCAACAACAGGAACATGTCTGTACAGGGCTGAAGAAGATCAAATAGTCTAACAGTCTGAATACCTTCATGACTGATCAAGTATCGTATGCAATTACTCTGGGCATCGTGAAAGAAAGTATTTCAGCAGCTTGTAAATCGTAGCATCATGTGACCATGCACGTGATCCTCGTCATCCCGCGATCGCAATTTTACGCTCAATCCGGCGGCGTTCAGGAGCTCACAGCGGTCCGGTCCACACATTCGTCGGGAAAGGTGTATCAACGAGACGCGCCGAGACCACACCCCGCAGCGCGCTCCCGAGATGAACAATTCCAAGCGATCTCGGGCAGATGCAGGTTGGTTCTCGGTCGGCCTCGCCTCCTCATTTCCCGATCTCGGCTCCGACGACGGCAACCTATCAGATCTTCGCTTCTGCAACACCGACCTGAAGCCGGGATGCAAGGTGTTCCACGCGCCGAAAGCGACCGGCTCGGTGCAGCAGAGCACGGAAGTGGACATCTCGCCTGATGCATTGGAGAATGCGGAGATGGAGGGCGACTTGAAGGACCAGGTGATGGTGTTCCGGTTCAAGGGGAAGTTTCACGCGATTGATCATGTGAGTTGGCGGCTGTGATGCTGGAGTCTTACCAGGCTAAGATTTGAGTAGAAATGCCCTCATTCATCATATCCTCTCTCTCAAGGAGTTCCATTCGATATTGAAGACTTCGGCATTGTGCTCAGCACTGGAGTGACGTGTCCAAAGCACAGCTGGTCCTTTGACCTGACGACCGGAATGTCAGACCGGGCGAGGTACAAGCTGGGAGTCTGGGAAGTGCAGCTGCGCGATGCTGCTGGCTCTGCGATTATGGTCACCGCAGATGACAAAAGCCCGGACACCCCGGAGAAGGAGGTTTGGGTGAGGAGGAAGCAGCGAATCGGTTAGACTAATCCATGATACCACGTTTCTTTTCAACCCAAGGCGCCAAATTCGAGCGTCACATTACATCATCACATCCACGATTGATACCAGCGGAATTATTGAAACAAATAAGATGTACTTCGCGTACTAAAACTGTCTATAGGGGTATGTTACATGTACATGTTCGTTCTCAATATTCAACATGGAAAACACAAGCAGATAAGAACACCAATTGGCATAAGCGACGCTTAGTACCAGGTGGCCTTGTTCCAGAAGAGGGCCTTGTCGTTCGCAAGGTCATCCTCGTCAAGGTAGAAGGTGGTATTGAAGACGATCTGGGTGCCGGCAGTGGTGTCGTTGCCGTACTGGGGCCACTCGAGCTTGTCCTCGGCCCACATGGTGTTGGGGTTGCCGGTAAGCACAAAGGACATGAGGTACTTCTGCATCATGACGGCGATGGTGGCGTTGACAGAGGTGCTGCCGCCCATGCCACCCCCGCTGGGAGGGCCGCCGGCGCTGGAGGAGGCGGTGGCAGAGGCAGCGGCGGAAGTAGCAGTCGCGTTGGAGGCGGCGGTGGTCGTGGTCGTGGTACTGTCGAAGGAGGACGACAGGGTGTAGGTGCTGTACCAGTAGTAGCTCTGGTCAGTGCCGTGGGTAGCCTGGTCAAGCGCGACGAGGCCGTTCCAGGTCTGGTTGTTCATGGCGTGGGTGAGGGCGAGGTTGTGCGCGGTCAGGTCGAAGTGCTGCTTCATGTCGGCGAAGCGCAGGCCGGGCTCGGTGTAGTCGTCCTCGGGGTACAGCGCGAGGATCTCGTCGACGACGGAGTCGGCGATGGCGGGGAAGAAGATGCGGAGGTAGGTCGCGACGTCCTCGGTGGTGTTCACGCCCGAGTAGGACTGGGAGTTGGCCTCGTGCAGCTCGTGGGTGGCGACGACGGGGCCGGAAAAGTTGAAGCGGCCCTGATAGAGCTGGGCCTCGTACGTGTCGGCGATGATGTCGCCATCGACGCGGGGCTGGAACTGGTAAGTGTAGGCGTCCTGGACGGTGGTGGCGGCGGTGTTGAGCGTGTCGAAGTCGACGCTGCGCATGCACTCAATGCTGCCGCCCGCGCAGCCGGCCTCGGAGGAAACGTTCAGCCAGAAGGCGTCGGCGTGTTGGTGGCCGGCGCCGGGGACGAAGCCGGGGGACATGACGTAGGCGCGGCTGTAGAGCTGCTCGGCGTGGCCGGCGAAGCGGGTCATCTGGAAGAGGACCTGGGAGGCGCCGGCGGAGAAACCAACTGCAGTGATCTCATCGGGGTTACCGCCGAACTGGGAGATGTACTTCTTGGTCCACTTGAAGGCGTGCTCGACATCCCAGATGGCAGTGTTGGAGGTGCCGCCCTCGTGCAAGAAGGTGGGACCGTTGGCCAAGCCAGTCATGCCGAGACGGTAGTTGTAGGCAACGTAGACAAAATCCTGGGACAGATCGAAGAGACCCTCGGGGGTGTTCTCGGACTTGCTGCCACCGGTGAAGCCTCCGCCATACGTCCAGACCATCACGGGCAGGTTCTTGCCCTCGGAGTTGGCAGGGGCCCAGACATCCATGTACAAGCAGTCCTCCTCGGAGCTGCAAGCAACGTCGGCGGAAGCCAAGTCGCCAGTGTTGACCTCCGCCTCGACGGGAGGGTCCTGGGGCTTAGCCCAGCGGAGGTCGCCGGTCGGGACGGCGGCAAAGCGGATGTTCTGGTACTTGTAGTATCCGACGGACTCGTTGCCGGCGGTAGCGACCACGGTGCAGTAGTCGAGAGTGACGGAGGGCATGGTGCCGGAGCCGGCGGTCGCAGTCGGGGCCGGGGTGGTGGTCTGGGCGACGGCCGCCGAAGCTGCCATTAGCAGTGAAGAATATTGGAACTTCATGTTGGGTATCTTGAGCGAAGGTTGGTAGCGATCGGATGTTGTCGTGAGTTGCGATGCTTCGAAACAGGATTGACCATATCAAGGCCATGAAAAGCCTGATATATATAATCATCACCCATCTCGTGAAAAGTCTTGTCAACGACATCCATGGTTCTCTGCATTCACCGGTGAGCACGACGCGTACTCCGAGCCGCGTAAGGTAGCGCACCTCTGAGCCTCATTTACAATCGTCATGCTTCCCTGCGTTCATCATTAAGGACCATCTCGAAAAACCAGCGCAGCGGAGGAGGCTTGGGTCGCGATGTTGTAATTGGAAAACAACCGTCTCTGATGATTGGCTCGCATCACCCCCACAAGGCTTTCTAGAGTGGGATGAACTCTCGATATGGCTCCGGTTCATGAATCGAAGTTGATTTTAGCGCGGGAACTTGCCGCCCCCTACCTAGTTTTTGGGCCTCGGAAAGATGTCCCACAATTTAGAAAGGGGTCTTGGCCCCCTCGGAATGTTATTCCAGAAGCCGTTTCCTTTGGCAACTTTGTGTTTGTTGTCGATCTCTTGCTCTCTCAGCCCAGCGGAGAGTGGGAGGTGGGGTTGAAGCGAGAGAAAGGGGGCGGAATCGCTTGCTCTAGTGCTTTCGGACCGCACCCACTTTCCGCTCCGCCTTCGGTGCCGGCGCGGATGAGCCACATCTAGGGCTCTTCGCGGATGCCAAAACCGAGAATGAAGATGTGGATCATATTGCAGTCATGTCCGAAGCCCCGAGATCGCCGCGGTCGAGTCTGGCGTCTTGACGTACACCGCGAAGGAAAGAAGCTTGTCTTTGAGTAAGTAGGACCAAAAACGGCCACGCCGACTTGGCAGTGGACCAGTGATTTGAGAAGATGTTCTATGCGAAGGTCTGGGAGATAAACCGTCGACGTTGCATATCAGAAATAATGTTAAGCCAAAGGCCGGGAAACACTAATTTTCAAGAAGCTCGAGGCGAACAGCCAGAATCGACTCACGAGATGGATGACACGGTTTCACGACATCTGGATGCAATTGTAACTGCACGTAAGCTCGTACGAAGTCATAATTCATACCGGGCTTCTCAATCCACGACCTGCAGCGGTCTTGAGCGGTTCGAGTGTGCATACCAAGAATACAGCTTGCCAGGATATACAACAGAAATCCACGTTCATGGGTCATATTGTTTATACGAAGAAATCAATATCTTGTCTAAACTTCTTCCTCGAGCAGGAGACAAGCCCCTTTCGACCTGCGTATCAAATTTCACAACAAACTATCCTGTCGTAAGCACTAAGAACCACTAGATCTCTTAAATCACAACCATCCGGTGTTGTGCCTTCACTTCCATTTCTGTTCCTCACAAAGTTCTAAGTAGACCCGTCTCCGAGAACACGGATAGGCAAGGCCGCTTGTGAGCATAGAATCTCGTTCATTCTCCAAATATGCACAAATCGGCCTCATAGCTCTTGATTTACTGACCTAGAGTCACTCCCGAAGCACGGCACGATTCCCAATTTGAATACAATCACCAGGCCATCCATGACGGATCACCAATACCAAGAACAAACACTTGCCGTAGCTCTGTTTCTGCGGTCCGTCCACGTAACAAAGGGACAGCGCAGCCTCTTCTATTGTCTCCACGTTGTTTAGCTTGCCCACTAGCCATGGAGGTGTTACCCCCGCGTTGCTCTCCAAATTTAGATTCACCTTGGGCCTCCTTAGTTTCCGCACTTCATCGGCTTTGCCCCACACCCTCTACCACTACCGCTAGAGCTGTTACCATGCGACAAGTCCGGGCCAGACTCCTTACTGGATCACGTAAACATTGGCTAGGGTTCAAGCAGTTGGCCATGCCTCTTGATCTCCTCCAAGCGACACAATGGGGAGAAAAGGTTTCTCTCAAGTCTCCCTTGCTAACATCGAGTTTTGAATCACCACAATGTCCATGAATGATTCTCAACTGGAATCGCGCATTTGAAATGACCGCTTTCTATCGCTGTACATACACATTTAACACGCCCTATTGCCGCTGTTTTCTCTCCTCGTCCAAAAGTCGCCTCATTTGCATAACGGTTCTGACCTTTTGTGAACACGCCCAGAGCCCGTCGCCTTTCTCCTCGAGGTCGTAAGGTGACGGTAAATCTGGATTGATGAAACCATCGGCCTTCATGCCCTCCCAATACTCTCTGAACCCTTGCTCTGACATCTTATTCTCATATTCACGGAGGAATGCGTCCTCGTGATATGCCCTCACTGCTTTGATATGACCAGGTAGGATTTGCCCACCGTTGACTTGTGCAAGAGTGAAGGCGCCCATGTGCTCCAGTCTCTCGACACCAAGCTGTTCTGAGGATTCATCTTCATCCACACGAACAATGGCTCCAAAGATGCGCTCAGAAGCAGCATAGTCCGGGTCTTCGTCTTCCCCGGAAAGGTCCAAGGGAGCACCAGAGGGCATGGCGGGTTGCAGATGCCATCGAAGCCCAAGTGAATACATTGCCGCACAAGGGGATAAGCTGTAACTCACTATGAACCTTTGACGGGTCAGTGTTGTATGCTCCACCATGTGTTCAACTCCCAAAGCTACCAGCGTTTCATCGCGCAGGTTGTTTATCTTGATGGAGTGCATCTGGTCTCCAGAACAGCCTCCGTGGACAGCTACCCAATGGACTCCATCAACTGGATTTCTATGGTGCACGAGGTAGCACTTGATGGCGAAATCGATCTCCCGAACCCCGATATCTCGGTAACTCCTGAAGGGGCTTCTTGCGTCGGGTTTGCCCACAGGATCTTCGTTCTAGGCGATCTCTTTGCCGGCGTTTTCGACATCAACTGTGCGCTTGGTTCTGGGTGCGCGCTTCTTCTTCTTGCCCTTGCCCTTGCCCTTTCTTTTTCTGGCTGAGCCTCCTTTGGATTTCGGCTTGCCACTCTTGGCCTCGTTCCGCTCGCCTTCGTTCTCATTTTCTTTGTCTTCTGCGCCCTCATCCCCTTCGTCAGCTTCCCCACCAACATCGTCGTTCTTCTCGTTGCCTGCGGTGATGCTGCTCACACCGATTTCAGTTACTCCTGACGGATCGCCAACGTCGTACGAAATGAGAAATGCTGGACCAGACACAAGCCCAACGTGGCCAGGCGGTGCAAAGCCCAATAGGCTATGATTAAGCCATTTCTCTTGTCTAACGGCGTTTTCGTTGGCGTTGAAAGTGATTAGGTCGACTCCGTAAGGGGTAATGGGTTGCCTCCATTCATTGTTGAAAGTCCACGAGGCGGCGGGGAGCTTCATTTCCTTGACATAGTCGAATGCTTCCTGGCGGTCTGTTTCGATGTGGAGTTTCCCGATGGAATCGTCAAATGTGACTTTGAGCCAGACGAATTGAGGCTCGTCGGTGCAGGGAAGAAACAACGCGCGGTAATGGTGTTCTGAGGGCCGTTGCGTCTTGCTGAATTCGGCAAATCTCGCGCAAATTCGTTCGTGTTCAGTGGGAACATTATACCGGCACACTTCGTCACAGTACGTAGTCTTGCAAGTTGGGCAGCGGTACTGGCCGGAAGTTGTGAATTTTTCGCAAGAAGCGCAGGCTTTCTCGTCAGTATCTGCATCGTCTTGCCATTTCTCCGGTGTCGATGTACTGATGAATGCACTTTCCAGATACTCGTGGAGAGCCCAGGTCGGCTTGCATTCAGCGGCGACGTCAGTTGGGCGAGGCTCGGCGGTGGTGTCGGGAGCCGGCTTATACTCGTCTAGTTGTAAAGAAAAGCGAAGGGTCGGCATGGTGATCGTAGCGATAGTGACTATTGATAGGCGTGTGACAGTCGTTAAGGTATGGATGAATGAGTGATGATTGATGATGCGTGCTTGGAGAAAGGAAGTTGTTGTGGGACGAAGTCTGTCGAAGTCAGTGGACAAGAAGATGCGCCAATAGTACCTTATGCGCGGCTCTTTCCACTCCCGTCGTGGCTTCGTTTTGAGAAAGTCATTTGTTGGATGCGTGGGCAAGATCATACTTGCCCCTTTGGGTGCCTAGGAGGTTTGGCAGGATTTGATCATGGAGGTTTCCCTGCGACGCCCAAATGCCACCGCCTCCACTGCCATGATGCGCAAGCCCGAAACGGCGTGCAAGAAGGTAGTCAACGGCTGTGTATGCCTGAAAGCCAGATGTCAGAGAACAAAAGGAAAGTCGGGAAGGATCTTGGCGTGATCCTTCTGTCGCGGAATAATTGGTCGGGGTGACTTACCAGCGAAGGAACGATGAAGGCAACGGAAGGGCAAGTATCTGACTTATAAAAGGGAAAGAAAGAGGCAGCTGCTACAACTGCATTGGAATTCGACATCGCGCCTGCCAATCCCATTTCAAGTTGTCATCCTCCAGAGAAAGTGATGTCAGCATTGAGCGCCGTCCTCCCGACACATCACCTGCCGCGCGATTGAACTCCTAAAACCACCATGCCTTGGCACCATGGCTTGAGGAAACAGGCTGCCTGATGCCCTTATATCTTCACAAGAGAGAGAAAGAGATCGCGCCTTGCAATATGGGGCAGTGGCTGTCGCCGGCAATTCAGCGACACATGCTGCATCCGTCAGTTGTTCTTCACTGACTGTCAGAAACGGAAGTCGTCGCACTCCTCGAAGTTGCTTCAGAAGCGCAATATTACGTCTCGAAAGCAGAAAAGAGAAAGGGACTCCAGTCTCTTGCCTGCAGAATTAATGCGAACTTGGACGGCTTCGGCAAGAACTCCTCCCAAGGGTACTTCGTCCGCATGAGCCACTGCAGCCCCAAAGATGTCGATGCAGGGACGCTGCGACCCGTATTTACGATCAAAGACGCCCTCGCCAAGCTCGTGTCATCGAAGTGAACAGTTCAAGCCCTCCTGAATCTGTACTACGAGTATCAGCGCGCTGATGATCTTCCCGATAGCCAGCTCTTCTTCTTCCCATGTCACGCCGACCTCGATCGCCTGAGCGAATGGCGATGCTACATTAACAAAAACAGGGTAGTCACAATCAGTCAGAGCAAGTTCTACCAGTGCAACCATCCGGAAATCACGGACGATGCGCTCTGATCTCTCGCGATGCAAGTTCGGCGGTTGTGGGCTGAGATGGCCCCCGAACTGAGCTTTGACTTTTGTGTACTGGATGTTTACGCGGAAGTAAAGAACCCTGACTTCGCCGTCAACCTGATTGGGATCAACCCATGGGGCGCGCAAGCGGGCTCCGGGAGTCTGCTGTTCCACTGGCTGGACGATGCCGATATCCTCAACCGCACGGGGTCAGAGCCGGAGCCGGCCGTGGTCATCCGACTGTTGGACGAAGGTGAATCGCCGGTGCTTGCACGCGACGAAGCCTACCAGATCGGGCGGGAACGGATCATCGAGGATGAGCTGTGCTGCCTGAGAGAGCGCGCGGCTTGGAATGGATTTTGGGGGTGGTGCGCATGCAAAATTCATGGCGCTGCCGCTGCCCGATGCATATCCTAGGCCCACAACGAGAAAGGATGGGCTTGAGATGTTCCTATGAAAAGACGACAGGACAGGCGATGGCAAGAGGTTAGCCGCGAGAGACCATCCTCGATTTGTCAAGTTGAAAAGAGCATCATTGCAAGGCTAAGAATAACAATCCAATTGAGAACATCATGGGTGCCGAGATCTGTCTCGGGTATGTAGTGATTGGGATGTTAATGATCTAGGCCTTCCGGTGCTCCGTGCAGCCATTGCACTGCAATCCTCATTCACCACAAGAGAGTCAAGAGTCAGGCTAAACACCGGTCATTCCCCGGGCTTGGTTCCCATATTGATTGGCCTTTGCTTCCGGCCGAGTTGACGATGGCATTACTCCGGCTAAGATGGATCATTTCATTGGTTGAAGACTCGTCTTCTGGGTCTTCCCCTCTCTGCCGGGATCCATCTTGGATCACCATGCCGAAGTGCTCTCCACTTGGACCATCACCAGACTCATCTCAAACACCATCTCGGGCTCTTTTGGTCCGGTCGTGTAAACTTCACACCGATGGACAATGGATTGTGGCGTTATGCTCTTCTCAATAGAGGGGTCAGATGAAGTGTAAAACGGACAATTTCCCAGTCTACTCCTCGACAGCTAAATTCGGGTGGTTCATATAGCTACATGCACTAGAACCATCGGATGCTAAGCGACGATGGGGAGCCTCAAAGTTGTCGATGTTCGCGTTGACCATTATCGACCGAACAACACGTTGGGAATCCACGTCGAAAGACCTCGCATCTCATGGCGGTACAGTGACGCGCCCCAAAACTTCACCCCCGGCGAGCGGATCATCCGGATCTCGCGTCTCTCACGCTCCGGCCCCACCGTCCTCGGCGAGTTTTCTGGAAATGATACAAACACCCAAGACGTTCCGTGGCCGGTGAGCGAAGCCATAGGCTCTCGCGAGAAGTACTCTGTGGAGGTGCGCGCTCGCGGCGCGGATCAAACGGAGCTGTCGCCGTGGAGTGAGCCCTACGTATTCGAGACCGGCCTGCTGAGTCGAAGCGACTGGAGCAGCAAGCTCATCTCGGCACCATGGGCGGAAGAGGGCAAAGACGCGCCGCAGCCCGAGGACTTGTTCAGAAGGGAGTTCAAGTCTGAGGGCCGTGTGCAGTCTGCACGGCTTTATGTGACCGCCCAAGGCATCTACGAGGCCGAGATCAATGGGAGAAGGGTCGGCGACTACTTCCTTGCACCCGGCTGGACGAGCTACGACGGCCGACTGCAATATCAGACATATGATGTCACCGAGCACATCTCATATTCTTCCAACTGCATCGGAATCCGCGTGGCCGAGGGCTGGTTCAACGGCCGCATCGGCTTCGAGGGAGGCCGTCGCAGTATCTGGGGCACCAGAACTGCCGTTCTCGCCCAGCTCGAGATCACTTACGAGGACGGGAGATCAGAGACCATCATCACAGACGATAATTGGAATGTCACCCGTGGTCCGTCAAAGCTTGCCGAGATCTATGACGGAGAGAAGTACGACGCCACTGCAGAAGTTGCCGGCTGGTCTACCACATCGACGAGCGGCGACTGGTCACCAGTAAAGGTTCTGCCTGAATTGCCCAGCAACGTGGACCTCATCGCGGGATTTGGAGAGCCAGTTCGGCGCATGGAATCCTGGATACCCAAAGAACTGATCACGACACCATCAGGCAAAATCATCCTTGATTTTGGCCAAAACCTTGTTGGATATGTCCGATTCAAGAACGTCGAGGCCGAGCGCGGTCACCAGCTCACCTTCCGTCACGCAGAAGTCCTCGAAAACAGAGAGCTCGGCACTAGGCCTCTGCGTGATTGTCAAGCAACGGATGTTTACACCTTCAAGGGCGATCCAGAGGGCGAGAGCTGGGAACCGCGCTTCAGCTTCCACGGCTTCCGCTACCTTCAGATTGACGGCTGGTCGGGGTATCTCAATCCCTGCAGAGGAGCGCTTAAGGTAGTCGTCTGTCATACGGACATGCAAGAAGCAGGCACCTTTTCCTGCTCAGACAGGCGGCTGAACCAGCTCTTCAGCAATGTCCGCTGGTCCATGAGGGGCAACTTCCTGTCTGTGCCTACCGACTGCCCTCAAAGAGATGAGCGGCTGGGATGGACGGGAGACCTCGCGCTCTTTGCACCCACTGCTACCTACGTCTACGACTGCTTCGGCATCCTGAAGAACTGGCTGGCAGATGTCGCCTTCGATCAAAAAGAGCTGGAAGGGATCCCGCCCATGGTTTCTCCCAATGTCCTTAAGGGCCATCAGAATTGGGGCAAGATTGGGGCCAACGCCATCTGGCATGATGTTGTTGTCCTTGCGCCGTGGGCCCTTTATGAAGAAACGGGTGATACAAGCATTCTGCGGGACCAGTATGAATCCATGACGACCTGGATTGAAAAGATACCTAGAAACAAAACTGGACCGGTGCATCTTTGGGACTTCGGGTTATTCCAACTTGGAGTAAGTTGCAGGTGTCATTACTCGTAACGGCAAAGAAAAGACTAACATCCCTAGGACTGGTTGGACCCGAACGCGCCTCCCGATGAGCCAATGAAAGCAGTCACGGATCCTCCTCTCGTCGCCAACGCATTCCTCATCCGATCGCTGGACTTACTCACCCAAGTCGCAACCATTCTAGAAAAGCACGAAGACGCAGAGCACTACCGCAAAGAATCTGCCGCAGCCCGACAAGAATTCCTCGATGAGTACGTCAGCGCCAACGGACGTCTGACCTCCGACTCTCAGACGGCTTACGCCCTCGCAATCGCATTCGACCTCCTTTCTCCAAAGCAGACCCAGCGCGCAGGAGACCGTCTTTCGGAGATCGTCCGCCGCAACGCCTTCAGAATCGGCACAGGCTTCGCTGGCACGCCGTACATCTGCGAAGCTCTCACACGTACGGGACACAGCGACGTGGCGTACGCGATGCTGCTGAACGAAACGTGCCCTTCATGGCTGTATCCCGTCAAGATGGAGGCTACGACGGTCTGGGAGCGCTGGGACAGCATGCTGCCCGACGGCTCGATCAACCCCGGCGACATGACGTCGTTCAACCACTACGCGTTTGGTGCTGTGGCCAAGTTCATGGTGGAGCGGTTGGCTGGCCTGAAACGACTGGATCCTGGTTGGAAGAGGTCAAGGGCTGAGCCAGTGATGGGCGGCGAGTTCACGCATGCGGCGGCTGAACACCTTACTCCGTATGGCAAGGTTTCTTGCAAGTGGGAGTTGACTGGCAGCGACACTGCTCCTTCGGAGTTGAAGGTTCAAGTTGTCGTTCCTCCATTGACAGAGATGGAAGTGGTGCTGCCTGGGAAGGATGGACCAAAAGTCGAGGTTGTCGGGTCAGGTGAGTGGTCTTTCGTGGTGGAGTATGAGCGAAAGCATCAGTGGCCAGTGAAGACGCTGTCCATCTTCCCAGAGTAGATATAGGTACCTAGGATCAAATGGGTAATCAAGAGCTTGGTATCCGCGCTGCGTTTCCAACAGCCTGGTTGATGGATGTTGAGTGTGTTGCCAAGACTTGTGCCAACGTGCGCCAAGCACTCCGGCCGGCTGGGCTGCAGGAAGTAAGGGGCTTTTGTCACCTCGGTTGAACGACATCTTAAAGAGATGACCACGCAATACATCAAGTCAATCACAGCATGATCATTTACCCATTGTCTTATCCATGGTTCCGTCCTTCAGCTACCTAGCCTATGCGTACATGATCTCTTAGTAGGTGCCCGCAGACTTGATGATGATGTTGGCCTTGGCAATCTCGGCATACTCCGCGTCCCTCTTCTCCTCGTCACGCTTGTAGGTGCCAGCCGACTTGATAACAATCGAGTCCTTGGCAAGATCGGCGTACTGAAAAATCTGAAGTCAGGACGTGTACTTCTTTTCAAAGTCGCCAGAGGTGACTTACCTCCTCGTCGCGCTTGTAGGTTGCAGCAGACTTGATAACAATAGAGTCCTTCGCCAGGTCGGCGTAGTTCTCGCCACGCTTGTATGTACCAGCAGACTTAATGACGATGCTGTCCTTCGCCAGCTGCTCGTAGTCGGCCTCGCGCTTCTGCTCGCCCCTCTTGTATGTGCCGGCCGACTTGATGACGATCGAATCCTTGGCCAAGTCGGCGTACGCTTCGCCGCGCTTGTAGGTGCCAGCCGACTTGATGACGATAGAGTCCTTGGCGAGGTCGGCGTAGTCGGCGGCAACGGGGGCGGCGATGGCGCCGAGGGCCTGGAGGGCCATGACGTGGAGGACGGAGAAGTGCATTTTGGACGAGTTGGTAATTTGGGAAAGCTGGCACAATGACCTGTGGCAAGAAGGTTGCAGGCGGGTCTTTATGTGAGGAGTAAGACTTGAAGCCGCTCGCATCGTCGACTAGGCTAGTACGTTACAACGCCTCAGCTGGTCTTATCGCATCCTTCTGAGATGGCAACCCGTATGGGGTATCATCCTGTTCCAACCCGTTTCTTGCCACATGTGTCGAGTCGTAAGTCCTAGACAGGAAGGTATGTAAGCTAGCTCATGACGTCTTGACGATCCAGACAATTGGATAGTTCCTCTGGCTTCTGCGATGTAACATGAACCTTGACCCCCCGAATATTGTTCTTCGTATGATTGGTTCAACAAAGCTTGAGATTGGGTTTCCATTTGTCTCAAAAGTACGACAAACCATCTTTGGCCGTGTTCTAGGAACCCAATCCCTCGGTGGCGGGGCTGCACCTGGATCCTCTTCGGACTTCCACAACCAGACATAAAACGCTCTCGCTGGGGACATTCGAATCCTGCCGTCCTGAATGGTCAATATCAGCCGCGAAGCTTTTCGGGAGGAGATCCACGAGGAGCTGCTGGGGATTTTTGAAGCGGCCCCCATGCAAGTACTAAGCCGAATCAAGAAGCTCGGTGGTCGAAGGAATAGGCTGCAGCTTTTTGTATAAGCATAGCGCGTCGGCCCACCAAGTCATCATGCGGGCGTCTGACTTGCCGGATCTCTCTTCCGATAGAAGGCTGGCGGTCCGAGGAAAGGAGCACACTGTGAAGAGTACAACGTGTCATGTGTCCCAGCTTGCACTTACTATGCTAAGCCTTTTCGATTTTTGAACATTTCTGACTGTTTACCTTGAATCAACCATAGAGCAGCTACAACCCTGAGTATCGCCATGTGGTGGAAATTTGGCTCGAGATATGAAAGCCTGCCGCAAGCTGAAGGCAAAGAGACTGGTGTACCTTCTAGGCGCTCAAGATGGTTCAATCACCGATGGCCACAATCAACCACTCTACTCGTCGCCACTAATCTGATGACGTTCATTGCGCTTATCTACACTATTTGGTCAGGCGAGCCAAGTTCTTCGACAAAAAGATGCACGGAAAACCTTTCCACGCCATGTGAGTTGAAGCGACCCAAAAGACCAGAGAGGGCTTCCACTGACAACTGCAACAGCACCGGCTCTTGAGGCGATCAAGTACAAGACGCCAGAGCACTACAATGCGGAGTTCAGGCAAACGAACAAGTGGCGAGCTCCACCTGGGAATCATTCCAACGCTGTCGATGTCGCCTGGCATGAGATCGAATTGGGCGCGGGTGGGATCTGGGTCTCTGAAGAGGAAGTCAATTTGTTGAACATGACCGACTCGGCAGAGCTGCCCTTCCACAAGATTCCCGAAGAACAAGGCGGGGGTTACTTGGCCATGCTTGAGGTCTTCCATCTGCTGCACTGCTTGGTCAGTTCATCACCTGTTGCTTGTGCTAAAATGACCTGTGCCTAACACGACTCTCAGAACTCGCTGCGGATGGGCTTATTTATTCTACAACTATGAGCATTACAAGTTCCTTGACGAAGGTGTTCCCGACGAGAATATTTATACTCACTATGGTAAGTTTCATCTTGCATCATCAAAGCCTAACGGAAACAAGCTCCAAATTGACTTTTGCATCGTCAACCTAGACCACTGCATCGACATGCTGCGGATGAACCTTATGTGCTACGCGGACGTCACCCCGGCCCTATTTGTGGACCCGCTCAGCAATCCCCTGCGCAGAGACGCGCTGCCCAACTGGTCATCTATGCACACTTGCAGAGACTTTGACGCGATATTGGATTGGAACAAGCACGGTCCTAGATCGGTACGTTGGCGGGATGCCGGTGCCAATCCGGCGTGGGATCCGAATCTCGAGGGTGCAGAGCAACCGTTCCCGCCGGAGGGACATACGGATGAAGGCCACCACCACGGGTAGCAAGGCTTTGTAGTATTTGCATGGTAGAAATTCTATATGTCTATCAAATGCCATGAATGATGAAATTTAGCAGTGCATGAGGAATGGAATTGATATTCTAAACTTCATCGTCGCTCCTCATCCGACGTCCCCGAGCATCGCTCTCCTGCGTCTAACTCATTTCTGTACTAATCTTAACACTATGCTTTTACATCTGAAACAAATGTCTAATGATGAATACTAGGTATGAGCCGGTGTGCAGAAATGACAAGCTTGAACCGTTGGCTTACCTGAGACTTGGTCATCCCAGATATCGTAGGAACTCTCCCTCTATTTGCAGGCGTTGGTGTCGCAGCAAGTGATGCCGTAGCCACCAGAGGGCGCGTAGCCGCAGTAAACCTTGTTGGAGTTGCACTTGCCGCCGTTGAAGCCCTGAGTTCCGGGGCTTTCTGTCGTGCAACCGGCCTGAACACCGGCGCTGGCGAACAGGAGGGCGGTAAGCACAGTAAGGATCTGCTTGGAGAAGTACATCTTGACGGCGATTATTGAAGTCGAGTTGGTGAAGGCGATGAGTATGAAGATTTTGTGAGCTGCACGAGGTTGATCTGATGTGTGATGAATGGTGAGTTACCAGGCAGTCTCGAAAAGAGGGATAATAATTGCAGTTTTATAGCTGTTCCTTCTCATGGCATGCCTCATAGAAACATTCTACTCCGGCCATAGCTCCCGGGTTGATAGTATGATCCACGTTGAGACAATAGAGTTCTGACATGCAGAGAGGCTATGGTTTGAGATCGGAGGAGCACATGGTCATTGCGACCCAGATCAGATTGAGGTAGCTCGTCTCCCAAGGCCAACCCCCTTTTGATATATTAATTGCCCCCAAGGCTCATGATTCATGAATCTGCGTCCCTGTCCTTGGCTTTCTTAGACTATCATGGTCTCCTGTTACCGCCACTAGCCTTTGAAAATGCGCATGAACCTCAGCTCATATGGCTGCGAAAGAAGCAAGTGACGTTAAGGTAGCAATCCTGTTCCAAAGATAAAGGCTTGTGTTGACAAGAGGTTTCTTTCACTGGCGATGGTTCCAAGGGAGAAAGGGGTCGGATTGCCTCAGATCAGACCATGTGGAGACTGGAAGGCCGATCTCCCCACAACCCGTGCCGTGGCTAGGATAGAATTCAGAAACACGGCCTGAACTCTAACATATTACCTTGCTAGTAACAGTCCACTTGAGACAAGAGACGCTAAGCGGAAAACGCATGGCAGTAGAATTACAAAGGGCTGCAACTTCCATTTCTTCGTGTCTCAGTGGGGAGTAGATGTGTCTACAGAACATTATCATTGGGACTCGAGAGAACGCATATCGAATCGCGGATGGAGGAGAGTTACTGGGCAGGATTCTTCTCGATAGATTCAACCTTAGACTCTCTCCGATGACCATGGGTATCTCGATTGTATAACCTCTGAAGCACGTTCTTCTGACAGACTAGCAACGAAGGAATGACGATGGCTCCACATAAATGGTAAGTGGGCTGACGCTGTCTGTGTTGCCTCAACGTGCGGCCTTGAAAGTTCAGCGATATTGACCTCAAAGCCTGAGGGTGTCCTCCTACTTCTTTGGCTGAATCACAAACTCTCTATGGCTACAACCTCGCAGCGTTGAAACGGGGAGCGACTGGGCCATGGTGACTGTAGTTGTCAGAAACAAATATGAAGGAGTGTTTCATTTTCTGGCAGGACAAAGCGCACCAGTATCCCACCGGAACTTGACTAGCGAATATGAGTGACGATAGTCTACCGTTGTATCCCACCGGCGCGTGGATACGAGTTATGGGCTTGATGGCTCAGACAAGGCACATGTCCACCGAATGGCAATGTTTCCATGACTCGCAAGGGAAAGCGGAAGGAGCAGACCGCAAAGGAGCCAAGAAGACTCGCTTGTGCTGTGAAATTGAGGTCGGGCGTGAGCCTGAAAAATAAGAGCGTGGCTATCATTGAAAACTGAAGTCGCCAACATCTGAGCATGTGCCGGCAATGCAATCAGCCATGACTCTACCATGACAGGATACTTTTTCATGGCGTCGCCGCGTCCCCCATATTGATTGGTCAGCCTACGTTATGACGGGAGAGAACTGTTATGGAATTAGATGTCGTATTAAAATCACAATAGTCTTAGATTTTGGATGAGGCACTGCCTACCGAGGTGTTCTCGGTATTGCTCGGAAGAGTTGTGTAGATTAGACCCGATCTTCCGCGGCCGGACATCCTTGACAGATCTGAAGACATTTACTGATGCCTTTGAAAAGCGCAGGGAACTATTGATATCCATGCTTCAACACGCAAGTCACAATGCCATGTGACAGTGTGTTTTTTGATGGCTAGTAGTGTATGGACCTGGAGGAGGGGAGAGGGGATGGTTTGCCGCCGCAAATCATTTACGGACCGTAGGAGCAGTTGTTCTCACTGAGTAGCTAGACGAATGAGCCGATTCGTATGCATTTACGTTTCACTATCGCACTTCTCTACCAGATATAGCAAGCTAGAGTATCTATGGGCCCTGAGAAAAGTACTTTAGGGGTATGGAGGAAGAACAAATTGTATTTGTATAAGAAGATTGAAGACTGGGTGGGCAATGAAACTGGGAAATTGGCTCGGCAGTTTTTGGTGGATTTGCCGTCGTCGAAAACCGATATCTCCCAAATCATTGACGCCGTGGAGACGTATGGACCTTAAGCACTGATGCGGTGACAGGACATATGTCTAACTTTCTAAGTAGCCTTTGGTAGGCGTATTACTTGGTGCAACATTGGTACTACGGAATGAATGTGAGATATGCCCAAACGCAAGTTGACGAGATGGGGACATACCGTGATCCTGCAGGTTGTATTGTTGTCGCCAGGCTTGGTGACGAGTTGTGTATAGGATTGAACGTTCACAGTTTGACCATTTCCACAGGAGGGCGTAGCATAGTGTTACGGTCAGCTATCCAACAGTAGGGTCTACTAACAGAAGCTGGGGATTAACACGTTATAATAGTATACTAAGGTTGTGGTCTAAGTTATAGGTTATAGGCTATAGTAGATTAGGTCTTTTAGAGATTAAGGTAATTAATCTTAAGCTTAATAAGTGATTTATAGTAAAGGTAAGCTAAGAGTATCTATAAGGATAAATATTAAGTTAATTACTAAAGAGCTATAGAAGTCTAACTATAAACTAAGTTTAAAGTTATACTATATATAAGTCTTAAATAGCTCTTTTATCTAGTTTACTAATTTTTAACTAGATACTAATAAGTATTTAGTAATTACTAGTAAGTACTTAGTAGTCCTTATTAAGTGCTTAGTAATCTATACTATCTACTTAGTTTTATCTTATTATTATATAACTTATACTATAGTTCTTCTATTATCTAAGTAAGTCCTTATTATTCTTATAATCTTATAGTATAAATATCTTATCCTAGCTACCTATTACCTAAGTAGGTTAGTTAACTGTTATCTATATATAATAGGTTATAATATTAGGTCCTCTCTCTAAAGGTCTTATCCTTAAGACCTAATATAAGTAGGTTATTAGTCTTAGGTTAGAGATCTATTAATTATACTTCCTATCTTATTTATAATACTAACACTATATTAAGTTATATTATTAAAAATCCTATGATTTCTATACTTTATTACTATTATTATTCTCTTAATATTATTAAGAATAGTTTTAAAGTTATACCTTATTATTGCTGTTATTTAAAGGGGCTTTACTATAAAATACTACCTAAGTTATTAGTTTATAAGGAGTATATTACTATTAGTAGTACTTATTATTCTTATAATGCTTTTAATAATATAATTTACTAGTATAAGGCAGTATCTATTCTAAGTTTTTCTTTTTTTTTTTTTTTTTTTTTTTTTTTTTTTTTTTTTATNTTTTTTTTTTTTTTTTTTTTTTTTTTTTTTTTTTTTTTTTTTTTTTTTTTTTTTTTTTTAGCTAACTAGTTATAGTAGAGCAGTTAATAGTAGAGTTCTATTATCTAGACAATAAGGAGGAGGAGACTGAGGAATTATTTTATAAGAGGATAGAGGTATTATAAAAGGTATAAGCTAAAGTGAATAAGGCGCTTATAAAGTTAGATTATATTTATAAGGTAAAGAGAATAGTTTTTAAGAAAGGTTATAAAGAGATATTAGTAGTTATAGAAGAAAGTAAGGTATCTAAAGTTCCTTTTATAGAGTCTTTTATATTAGAGGTTTAGTCTATAGGTAGCTTTAGAGCATTAGACTTAATATTACAACCTATTATATAGGGATAATAGTGACTAACCTACTTAGGTAGTAGGCAGCTAGAATAGGATATTTATACTACAGAATTAATAGGGATAATAGGGACTTACTTAGAATAGAAGAACTATAGTATAAGTTATATAATAATAAGATAAGGAAAACGATTAGTAGAGTATAGGAAGAAACGCTTAGTGATTAGTTAGTATTACTAATTAATTATAATTACTTATATATCTAGGTAATCACCTAAAAGTAGATAAAGGATACTATTTAGGACTTATATATAATATAACTTAAGCCTTACTTAAGGTTAGACTTCTATAGCTCTTTAGTAATTAACTTAGTATTTATCCTTATAGATACTCTCAGCCTACCTTTATTATAAATTACTTATTAAGCCTAAAACTAATTACTTTAGTCTCTAAAAAACCTAATCTACTATAGCTTATAACTTATAACTTAAACTATAACCTTAATATATTATTATAATATATTAATCCTTAACTTCTATTAGTAGACCTTACTATTAGATAGCTAACTATAATATTTTAATTACTCCTATTTAATAAGTTAACTATTAATATCTACTAATAGTAAAATAATAAATATATCTTCTCACACTTTAGCTAAATCTCCTACCTTAGGATCTTTATCTTTTTTATGTAACTAGCCTTAGAGTCTAGCATAAGAACTTATTAGTGTTAAGGATTATAATATACTAGACCTTAAGTATAACTCTAATAGAGAAGGCTCCTTTACTAAAGAAGGTTATAAAAAACTCTAATATATTATCTAGAAATAAGAAGCTAAATTTAAGGAAATATAGATATTTATAAATAAAAGTAAGTAAGTTATTAAAAACCTTAATAGATAACTTTAGAACGCTATAGTAGTTTTTAAAAAGCTAGAAAAGGATATTAGAGGAGATACTAACCTTAAAAGGATTTAAGAACTCTAAGAAGAACTTAATACCTTCTAAGCTACTGCTAATATTATTACTACCCTAATTAGAGGATAATAGAAACTTAAACTTAATACCCTAATTACCTATAATAATACCTTTAAATAACTTAAGTTATTCCTAATCTAAGTTAAAAATTACTAGAACTTCTATTATAGAGACTTTACTAGCTAAACTAAGAAAGTTATCTATACTACTACTTATTTATAAAGATAAGCCCTTAAATAGTTTAAACCTATCTAAGAAGAATTCCTTAAGTATAAGACTTTAGATAAATACTCTACTAAAAC